AATGGACAAGTGACATCACAGATATACAAAGGATTATAAGAAAATCCTATGAACAATTTTATGCCAACAAACTGGGCTACCTGGAAGAAATTCCTAGAATAATACAAGAAACAGAAAATCTGCACAGACCAATAATTGCTATCAAAATTGAATCAGTAATCAAAAAACTTCCAACCAACAAAAGCCCTGGACCAGATGGCTTCATAGGTGAATTTTATCAAACAAAGAAGAATTTAACACCTATCTTTCTTAAGAGGAGGGGAGGCTCCTAAATTCATGTTATGGTAGTCACTACCCTGATACCAAAACCAAAGACACTACAAAGAAGAAAATTATAGGCCAATATGTTTGTTGAACATAGATGCAAAAATCCCCAGCAGAATATTAAACTGAATTCAGCAATACATTAAAAAGGTCATACACTATGATCAAGTGGAATTTATTCCTGGGATGCAAGATTGGTTCAATACCCCAAAATCAATTAACGTGATACATCACATAAACAAAATGAAGGATAAAAATCATATGATAATATCAATACATGCAGAAAAAGCATTTGACAAAATCCAGCATCTATTTATGATGAAAACTCTCAGCAAAGTAGATGTAGAGGGAACATACCTCAATTTAATAAAGGCCCCATACGACAAACACACAGCTAGCATCATAGTCAATGGTGAAAAGCTGAAAATTTTGTCTTTAAGGTAGGAAACAAGACAAGGATGTCCACTTTCACCACTTTTACTCAACATCAGAGAAGAAAATGAAATAAAAGCCATCCAACTTGGAAAGGAAGAAGTAAAACTGTCATTATTTGCAGATGACATGATAGTATATAGACAGAACCCTGAAGATTCCACCAAAAAGACTACGAGGACTAATAAACATATTCAGTAAAGTAGCAGGATACAAAATTAATATTCAGAAAGAGAAATTAAGAAAACAATCCTATTTAGCATCGAGATGAATACATAGAAGTAAATTTAACTGAGGAAGCAAAATCCCTGTACTTGGAAAAACTGTAAGATGCTGAAGAAAAAAATTGAAGATACAAATAAATGGAAGGCTACACTGTGCTCAAGAACTGGAAGAATTAACATAGTTAAAATGCCCACACTATGCCAGGAAATCTATAGAGTCAGTGTGATCCCTATCGGAATACTAACGGCATTTTCACAGAACTAGAACAAATTATATGGAACCACAAAAGACTCCAAATAGCCAAAGTTATCTTGAGAAAGAAGAACAAAGTAGGAGGTTTATCACACTACCTGACATCAAACTATACTACAATGCTGTAGTAATCAAACCAGCATGGTACTGTCATAAAAACAGACACATAGATCAATGGGACAGAAAAAGAGAGCCCAGAGATAAACCCACAACGATATGGTCAGTTAATTTATGACAAAGAAGACAAGAATAAACAATGGGCTAAAGATAATATCTTCAATAATTGGTGTTGGAAAACAGACATGTACAAAAGAATGAAACTAGACCACTTTCTGATACCATATAAAAAAATAAACTGAAAAGATTGAAGACAAGTATAAGACCTGGAACCATAAAACTCCTAGAAGAAAACAAAGGGCGCAGTAGACTCTTTGACATCACTCTTAGTAATATTTTTGTGACTTATGTCTTCTTGGTCAAGGGAAATGAAAAAATAAACAAGTGGGAATATATCAAACTAAAAAGTTTTTGCACAGTGAAGAAACCAACAAAACAGAACCTACTGCATGGGAGAAGATATGCACCAATGATATATCCCATAAGGGATTAATTTCCAAAACATATAAAGAAATCATAAACACCAACACAAAACAACCAAACCCCTAACATTCTGATTAAAAAATGTGCAGAGGACCTGAATAGACATTTCTCTAAAGAGGACATATTATGGCCAACAGACATATCAAAAGATACTCAACATCACTAATCATCAGCGACAGGCAAATTAAAAACACAGTGAGCCACCACCTCACACGTATCAGAATGACTATTGTCAGCAAGTCTAACAAATGTCAGCAAGGATGTGGTGAAGAGGAAACCCTTGGGCACTGTTCATGGGACTGTAAATTGGTGTAGCCACTGTGGGAAACAGTATGGAGGTTCCTCAAAAAATTAAAAATAGGTGTAACCACATACCAAAATCCCACTTCTGGGTATTTATCCAGAGAAATCTAAAACACTAATTAAAAAAGATATATGCAGCATTATTTACAATAACCAAGATACTGAGGCAGCCTAAGTGTCCATGGATAGATGAGGGGATAGACAAGGTGTGGGTCCTACATACAAGGGAATGTGATTCTGCCGTGAAGGAAGAATCTTACATTTGCCACCACATGGATGGACCTGGGAAGCATGATGCTAAGTGAGGCAACTCAGACAGAGAGAGACAAATACCATATGATCTCACTGATACTTGGAATCTGAAAACAAAGTATATGGAAAAACAAAACATTCAGTTTTATACTTTCAACAATTAGGTGAGTTGTAAAGAACTTGTGCACATGTCCACTTTTATAAATTAAGTATTTTCTCAATTGGGGAACATGTACTAGTGGTCCGGGGCGGGGGGAGAAGGGAGTGACGCAAGTGGGTGTCTTGGGTTGAGGGAAACGTTCTGGAACTAGGAGGCGGCGGTGATTGGGCCATCTGTGCACATACTAAAAACCACCGAATCACATGCTTTAAGAGGCTGCAGTTGCCTCTGCTGTCTGCTCCCCCAAGTGCCGCACCCCAGGGGTGACCTCTCTGTTCCCTCTCTGCAGACTCCTCATCGACATGGTACCCAGGGTGAGGCAGACGCGCCACTATGAGATGTTCGAGTGAGGAGGGCCAGAGCCGCCAGCCAGTTCTGCGTGTGCATGAAGACTGTCAGGACGACATTTCCACAAAGGCGGACGGTGCCAACATTTATCTGAACATCCAGTTTCTTCTTCGGAAAGTGTGTGTTCACGGGAACGCGGCCTGCCCCGCAGGTCGGTCTGCACTGCTCCCCTCACTCCACTGCCCCCTACACCCAATAGGACGACTGACGTGCATAGGAGGGGAGACTGGTTTCCCATTCCCAGTGGGAACTCACCTTTTCTAGTTTCAGGAGTAAAAGGGTTCTTGTGGGTGGGATAAGATCTCCGTTTGGCAGAAAGTTTTTCTGTGGTGCTCAAGGCCTGAACTAGATGGCGACTGCCCAGACCCACCTCCTCTGGACGGGCTCCAGCCACCTGGGCGTCTGGAGCCTCTGTCTCACCTCCCGGCAGATTGAAGGGAAGACCGAACGCATCGTGTGTCCCTCACCCCTTTACATGCCCAGAACCATCAGTATATAGCACTTCCTAATTTCTATCGATATATTTCATTAGTTTCATACTGTTTTACTAATCCTAAATCTAAACAGATTTGTTCAAAAGGAGACCATTCTATTTTTCAAGTACTTAGTGATGTATGTATGAGCTTTGCATGGATGAACTAAGCACATGACCCTTCCTTGTAAATTCAGAACCTCCATTTTTGACAGATGTGAAACCAGTTTATTTGTAATAAATAATGATATAATCGACCCCTATGTGCATATATCTATATGCTGTGTTAAGTGGTGATGGTACATTGCAGTCTGTTAGAGGTGGCGGATTCCTCTGTAAGGAGCAAGGTGTCTTCAGTTTATGTAACGTTGAGTATAGATTCTGTGAAATGTTTCCCAGCACACAACAGTCTGTATACCTCTAGCACTGATGCTTGTCCGGCCGGGCGGCAGTGTCTGACCAATAAAGACCTTTACCTGTTTCGTATGGTATGGGGAGGTTCTCTTTGAGAGTTGTCACCGTCACGGGCAGCTTTGCTGTTGTGGCTGAGGGATGACATGGCAGGGTCACCTGTTCCCGGTGGAGTGGGGGCGGAGATGCCGAAGCACTGCGGTGAGAGGCTCTGTGCCTCTGTGGGGGCAGGCCCACCCGCCCCGGGGGTGGGGAGTGGCCACACATTGACTCGGTGGTGCCCGAGGCCCTTGGGCTGACCTTGCCAGACTGAGGGACAGCTGCTCCCCAGACTGCACCCCTGCTGCCCACACCCTATCTCCCACCAGCCATTTCAGGCTGGTTAAAGGAAAGTGGTTTGGTCTTAGAGGTCACTGACCTCGGTTCAGTCTGGTGCTGCCAGCGCAGCTTCCTCCAGCAGCTCTGTAGGGTGTTAATGTGCTACATGGAATAAAGGGTTGACTGTTCAAACAGGACTGGGAAATGCTAGATTCAACAGGTTTCTTTTCTGTGGGTTTCCTGTACATTTACTATACAGTGTGGGAGGTCGGGGAAAGGAAGCTAGGGTGTAGCCTCCCCTAAACTTACGCACACTCACATTTTTCTGGGCACATTTCTGGGACTGGTGCACACCCACTGTGCTGTATCTGGGAACTGTGTGCTGTCCCTGTTCAGGGCAGAGCTTGAGGGATGCTGTGCCGTCTCGGGCCGAGCCATGCCTCCCGCGTCGATGCCCACAAGCCCCTGGTGTGAGCGTGGGTTTGACCTCCCTCGTTTCCAGGGTGCGTGCCTTGCCAAATGCTCACGGGCCTGTGTCAAAGTCCTGTGTCACAGTGTCCTGTGTCACAGAGTCCTCTTTGTGAGGGGGACATGGACTCCAGCTCCAACAGGCCCTGAGCCTTTTCAGGGACTATTTTACTAGCACATCCTTAAAGATTTTTAAACATCTGCTGTAGTGCAGCTATCTCAAAAAACATGCTCCATCTGTCCACTTTCAAGTTCACTCCCTTCTAGGTGAATACTCTGAAATCAGTTACTGGTGGACGTGACGCTAAGGGACAGAATACTCAGCGGTGAACCCCTCGTCCTCTGCTCCGTCCACGTGACCTCCCAGCGTTTTCAGCAGCGGCTGCAAATGGGGAAATGCAGTAGTGACGCCAGCATGGGGGATGTGGCTGGGCTATGACCCACAGGTGGCCCTGCCCCACCCCGGCCCAGCCCCCCAAAGATCACTCCCACCTGTCACACAAGAAAAGTTTATTGAAAAATAAAGTTCTCCCTAGTTTTGTCTACAACAGTGGGAAACACAGCAGTGTTCTCTATGCCGGTACAGGATGTTTGGACGGCCACAGCACACCTGCAGAGCCCTGCCCTACTTAACCCCAGAGTGAACCAGGAGCTGTGTGAAGACACAGATGCGAACGGTCATTAGCTCAAAGACATCAACGTAGTGACAGCAGCTACAGTAGAAAAGACACCACCATCTCCTTTGGCATCGATTGTTCGGTATTGTCCTACTAACACCTGGGCAGGACAGTGAACAAAATGTTTCCCAAGTTTGCCCCATCTCCCCTTTGGCAGAGGTGGCAGACTGTGCCAAGGCCCCACCCTGCTGTCCCAGCCAGGCTTTCAGACCTCCAGCACGGCAAGTGCTCGCTGGTGCCCCTGACCCACACCATCCAGACACACCCGACTGTCCTACGAGCACATGCTGGCCTGTCATGCCTTTGCCACGCCTTGCCAACTGTAGGAGCAGGGGAACCAATCTAAGGCTCCACAGAATCAGGGACAGAGGAAATGATGCTTTGAAGGAGGTAAATTCTAGTCCTATACCCACCAAAGTCTAAGACTGCTGATTCTGCTGAAAACAAAGGAACTTGAAGACAGGACTCCAACAATTGCTCCATAGTCCACAACTGCAGTCCATCCAGAAGAGCACCGAGACAGGAGAGGACATGCAGCTCCAGATCAGGGAGCAAGAGGCTAACACCTCAGCCAAACAGAGAGTGAACTGGTATTTGGGCGATTTGGGGAAAAAAATCACTGAACCACGAGCAGCCTCTGGGAATGGTTCTCAAGATATTCTCCCTGCCTCTGCCCATGGCTTCACCAGGAAGGTGGGATAGTTTTGGGGTCCCTCAGGCTAGCTGCAGCGGTCTGGGGCAGAAGGGCATCTCCTCTGAGGCTGGGGCCCACGCAAACACGTCACAGCTGACCCGCCCAGGAGTCTGATCCCTGTGGACTGGACTGTGGAGGAGCCACCCTGACCAGCAGGGGGCAGCAAAGGGACTTCCTAGGGAATGAGTAAGTTCAATTGGTTGTTCCTGTCCCCTTCAAAACAGAAAAGCCTGTCTTACGACACTTTAGAGGAATACAGTTAACTTTTAAGGGGTACAGTCAATGAGAACATTCACCTTAATTTCTAGCTCAAGAAGTTGCATAAAGAAAAACTCTGGAATGGTCCAGGAGGCATCAGTGGGGTGAGGTCCTGCATGGGGCCAGAGGTCACCCTTGTCATCTGTGCACAAGTCCCTGCAGCCTGGTTTCGTCTGGTGCTGAAGTCAGGCACGTTTTCAGATCAGTCAGTGCATGCAGGGTCACAGAGACGTCCCCAGCAGCAGGGTGGGCCGGGGCCGTGGATGTGCTAAGTCCGTGAACCTCTACAACATTCCATCAACCCAGGACAGTTTCACGTAGGTATTACATGAATCAACTGATAGGGAGTGAGCTCAGCTCTTTATTTCTCAAGTTTTGTGAAATGCTAATAACAACAACAATATTTAACATCTACTAGGGCTTACTATGTGCCAGACACTGCTAAACACCGAATCCTCACAAAACCCCTAAGTGCTAAGAAAGCTAGGTTAATTTTTTTTCCTGCATCTGAGACTATACAGCTAATTTGGCCTTTTGCGATAAAAACTTGGTTTTCCACTTTTTGTGGAAGCCAACAAGAATGAAAGGAACTCGCCCTCTGCTTTAGGAAATCCCTACCTTCATAAAGAAGACTGAATCTATTTATGTCCATCCATCTCCTCATGTGAAGTTGCTCTGTAGCCCTATAGGGATGGATGGAATTAGAATGAAGCCAATGTGAAAACTTTTTTTTTAAATAAATAAAACAATCCAGGCTTGGGATGGTAGCACATACAACAGAGCCTGTCGTTTAACAAAATGGACTTTTTTAAATCGAGAATTTGGGGGCCATGGAAGAGGATGGTAATATCCCAATCACACACACAATCCAGGTAATAAACCGCCGTGGAGAAACGGGGGGGCCTGCCGGGGTCTGGTCTGGAAAGCACAAACCCACCTGTGAACACACAGTTTCCGTCAGCCTGTCACGGATGCCTTCGTGGCCTGTGAGAAGCACCGGGCCTCCGCTCCCAAGTGGAGCCCAACAGTCACTTTTATTAAACGCTGTGTTCACTACGGACACAACAAAGGTATGCATATCCCTTCCCCTTCATGATGTGAACCAGATAAAGTGTTTATGGGCTGGTGCTACTCATGAGCTCAGTGGGTACTGCTCCCCGTCAGTGCAACCCCTCAGCTAGGGCTGGTTGTCTTTTCGGGCCACACCTCCCACATGCCTGGGTGCATGGAGCACAGGCCCACTGGCACATGGGCAGCCAGCAGCCCCCAGACCCGAAGATGTGACCGTGACCGAGCAGCTGGGGAAGGTGTGGGCTGGTCTTGAGAAAGCCAGCACTTCTCTTGGGGTTCTCAGGCTGCATGGGGGAGCATGTGCGTACATGTGGTGGCCTAGGGGGCTTGAAGGGTGTTGCTGGTGCCCAGCCTGAGCTTCCACAGTGATAAAGGACAGGTCCCATCTCCAAGCTGCAGGATTCTGCTGTCTTCCTTCAACAGCACCCAGATTCCAAAAACCAACCCCAAAGAAAAGTGAAAAGGCACATCAGAGAAACAATAAATATCAATAAACAAATGGACTCTCAATATTTCCAAACATACAGCAAACACACACAAAAAACTATAAGCAGAGACAAAACCCCAATCTAAGCAAAAATGCAAAAAGACCCCTCTCTGTTTGTACATGTGCAAATCAAATTACATACAAAAAATAAAATGAGGTGTTTACTGGCATTAAAAGTGTGTTTCCCCCTTGAGGAGCTTTTACTCCTGAAAGTGTTTACATGTCAAAGGAAAGCTTTTTCTCTTTTAATAAATTAGTTAAATGTTTTCCCTCAAGTTTTTTAAGAACCCAAGATCACAGTGGGGAGGGGGCAAATTTCACTTAGGAAAAAAAATGTACAAAAACTTACAGACTGGGCTAGATACGCTCCTAGCACAGGAAGACGCTGATCCTGGCTGAGGACATCTCTCAGTGTGGGACTGTTACCAGTTACGTGCTGGTCTAGGGCTCTGTTAACAAAAATCACCCAAGGCCCACACCCTGAGAGGCGCCTTCCTCCAGGACAGGCAGGGCCCAGCACGCAGGGCAGATGCAGGGCCCTCCCAAGTTCCCTGCTGTGGACCACTGGCCCACGGCTAAGTCTGCTGGGGCCCGGCAGCCAGCACCTCTCCTGTGTCACTGCCTCTGTGGATAATGCCTTCACCATGTGGAGTGTGGGTTGGTCTGCCTCATGTGCAGCAGCCCCCCTGCGGAACTCTGCATCACCTCGACCAATACTGGGCTGGCTCTCCCGCTGGACTGCCTGACTCGAGGGTCCTGATATAGAGAGGAGAAAAGGGGAGGACCAGAGCTGGGGCAGCCAGCAAACAATCTTTGCAGCTTCTGGAACACAAGGTAGGCACAGCATCTTTCTGCAGAATGTAGCTTTCCACCTCTCTTGCTTTCTGAGTTCCTGTGCTTATTTAAACAGCCCTTTGCAAAATAAGTTAGCCTTGTGGAGTGTGGGAAATTGGTCTTGGCCCGCAGGCTCCCCCTGCTGGTCTAATGCCTACACTGACATGCTCATCATTGGAAGCTCCTGAAAGAGTCCAGGAGAGGGCGGCACCGGCCTAGGAATCTCAGGGCAGAGAACTCAAGCAAATTCCCACAATTTAGGGTGCAGCCAAGAGGCCCTTTCACAGGGAAAAGCAATTCCTAACAGCATGGAAGGCAGTTATTTCTCTTCCTACTGCAGGAAACTGCCCTTGCAAAGCTTCAAAGCACACCCACACCCACACTTACTCACACCCTATTACTAAGGTTTCCTTTGGACTCGTGCCGTTGTGGCTAGGCCCAGGCCTCCTGGTCAGCACTCTCCCTAGCACATGTATTCTGGGGCCACCAGGGGTGGCGGAGACCCCAGCTGTCCCTCCTCACCCCCTCCATTCTCTAGGATTGGAGGTGGGATTCAGACCGAGAATCTAAATCTAAGGGAAAAAAAAAGAAGGCTGGTTGTGCATTTGGTATTATGTACCAGGGAAGAATTGCAAAGCTGGCAGCATCTAACTTTCCACACCTAAAGACCCCACTTGCTCTGGTCGTCAGGAAACAGCCCTTCCTTTAGTCTCACTTCTCGAAGGCCCACCCAGCCATTAGCCTGGCCAGCTGTCCTGCCTGCTGGAGGCGGGGCCAGCTGCCCCGGGCATGCAGGGTGCTGGGAAGCCAAGGCTGCCAGAGCCACCAAGGCACTGAGAACCACCCCGAGGGCTGGGTGTATCACAACAGCTCACAACAGGGAGACTCTCTAAGGAGGAGGAGAGGGTTCATTCTCACCAGCACGGGATGCCAAGGGCTTCACAGGAAAGCACCCAAAGCACTGAAACAGTGCTTAGTGGGGGTGGGGAACTCACACAAGGCAGAGCACAGGGGCCCCAGGGCTGGAGAGGGGGCGTCAGATGAGTCTGGCCAGGGCAAGCTGGCAACTGGCTTGTCCTCCTCAGAATATTGGTGCCTGGAGTGAAAGCTGCCCCCACCCCCACAGGTGAGTGGCTAGGACAGTGAGTCAGTTTCATCCTAGCCTGCCCCTGCCCCCACAGCCAATGTCAAGTTCACCAAGATCCCATTCCTTGGACTTCGGTCCAATATCAGACATTACAGGGAATGTAACAAGCCCATCTGTTTGGAGCCCAGCTGCAGGGATGGCACCAGGTCACAGGGGCCAGCTTCACTCCTGTCCAGTCCCAGCTCACAGACAAAACATCACGACTGAGTCTCAATTAGCTCTCTCAGTCCTGCCCTGCGGACTCACCACACACACCCAGTGTCAGTTTCTCAACCTTGCACTTCCTGCCCGGGCTGGGCTGTCCCCCCTACAGGGAGGCAGCGCCTGACCTGTGGCTGCCCCCCCTCAAGCACACACAGAAGACTGTCTTTTGTGCTGCCATCACCCACCGTCACCCACTGTAAGGGGCTACACCCACAGCTACCCTCAGGCGTGCACCCAGGGCCTCGGGGCACTGTCTCTCCTGCCTGTACCCCAGCCGAAGCAGACAAAAAAAATAGTACAGTGAAGGTGGATGGTAAACAGTGGAAAATCAAAGAAACAAGACCTGTAATCAAGACCTTTTTGCCCTTCCCTGATCCCCTGCCCGCCCTCCCAAATAAATAAGTTAATGGATTTAGGAATGTTTCCAACAGAAAGTTCTTTCCGACCAGCTCAATTCCTCCTCCTGTTTTTTGTTTTAAATGAATCTTGACATTCGCTCTCTACAGTTGCTCCTCAAAAAACAAGACAGAGTTGTGCCAGGGAGCAGAACCAGGCTCCTGGCCTGCTGTCTGCTCTTGTTGTGTTTTGGTGAAAACTCCACTGTGATGCTCGGACCCCAGCAGGGCAACACCAAATCGAAACCTTCCACCAAAAAATCCAGGCTCTGGCGAGAGTCCCCGAATGACGTGTGCCCCCTGGCTCTGCCAGGACCGGGCTGGAGTCGCTGTCCTCCCCAGCAGAGGGCGTGCAGGGCCCTGCCGGTGGCCGCTATAGACAGTCTTCACAGAGGGCCACCTGGCCCTTGATGAAGTCCCGGCAGGGGCAGATCCTCCGGTGCCTGGGGTGGGCGCCTGCACAGCTGAACAGCAGGAGGTCACCTTGAAACACACAGTGCTTGTTCTTGGGGTCGTAAGAGGGCACCAGGATGTCCTTGGCCAGCTCTGAGCTTTGGCAGATCACTTCGTACCTGAGGAGGAAGAGAAAGGCTTGTGGGTTGGAGATGCAGAGAAGGTACAGGTGGGCCAGGCTGACCTGGATTTGAGTCCTGGCTCCATTTGTGACCCTGGACGAATGACTGAGCCTCTCTGTGGTTCAGTTTCCTCTTCTGTAAACTGGGGATGGACAACCCTTCACTGGAAGGGGAGGTGCGGGAAGGACAGCAGCGCTTACAGAGCACGGGGCCGAGTCTAGCTCTGGGGAAGGGTCATTATTACAATCATCATCGTCACTGTGACCACCCTGCCCTGGCAGACGCGGGGTGGGCTAGGCCGCCTTGCTCCCTGGCCCCACGGCGTGAACTGAGCCACACGCCCGCCGTCTGCATTTTACTGGGTTCACAGAAGCCTTGATTCTTGCTGACAAGGTGGGGATCCAGCTGGGGAACCTGAGGTTTCCTGCTGCCCCTGGAAAGCTTCCAGACACTGGGAGAGAAGCAGCATATCACACCCCCCGCCCTCACAGCCCCCGTTACTCCTGCCTCCTCTGGCCTTCCTGCAGCCGACTGACAAACTCCCTGGCCCGGAGCCCTTGCCAACATCAATCAGGCGGTTTCCAGTACATGTGGCAGGGACTCGGGGGGCTCTCCGGGCTGCCGTCGGGCTCCTGCTGCTCCAGAGGGCAGCTTTCCCTCTTATCTTGCTCTGCAGCTGCCAGAGAGCTCTGTGACGTCTCTAAACGCCCAAACACCTCTGGTCTTGGCATGTCAGCTGGGAGACGGAGGGACCCAGAGGGTTCAGGTCATGGACCATGAAGCCGAGGGCAGGAAGTGTGGGTTTTACAGACTTCCTAAAGGAAAATGAGTCAGAGATTTGGGGCTTCCGCATCCAACACGAGATGCCCCCGCTGGCCAAGCCACACAAAGGGGTCTCCAGAGCTCATCTGCGCACTGCAGGTTTCCATGCAGCGTGTGGCCTTGGCAAACAGCTATGCTTATGCTATTTTTTTTTTAATCTAGGCGAATTTCAGCAGCTGGTATGTCTTAAGTCAACTGATCTGTCTGGTACCCTGCTCACCAGGAGTGTGGAAATGTCTACAACTAGTCTCAGTCCCCATGGCCAGGGGTACAACTGTCAGAAGCCACGAAGAGACCCTCCTGCTCCAGCCCCTGGGTCTCCGGGCCCAGCCTCCCGGGTGTGAGCGCATGGCCGCAGAGGCCTCGGTGGAAGCAGCCTGCTGGGGACGACGCCCTGACCGCCACGAAGAGCTCGCTTAGACAGCATGTGCCACCAGAGCCACGGGAGCCCTGTTATGAGGCAGCCCCCCAAGGGTTCCCTCGATCCCCTGCCGTGGGTGCGCACAGCTCTGGCCACTCTGGACACCATCCGCACCACTGGCCCCCGGGGGCTCTCCCTTTTCTCAGTGTGCAGGCAGGTCCCTGTCCCATAGCCCTGGCTGTCAGGACGGCCACTGCCCCACTCTCGCTTAACTGCTGCATGGCAGTTATCGAAGAGGTGGGGCGGCTTTCCCCACCAGGGCAGTGCGCCCAGACTCCCGCCGGCCTCCGCAGGCCAGCGTCCACATCCCCCCCCGCGGGCCCTGTGCTTCCCAGGGTGCACATGTCACTGTGTCTGCCTCTACTCCTATGATGTCTGTCACACCCATTCTCAATCACACACACACACACACACACACGCTCACTCACTCACACCTGCTCGGAGACTCCTGGCACAGCCTGCGGTTTCCTTTCTGCAGAGGTGCGGACCTCTCCAGCTGGCCTGAACAGCTTCTCTTACGGGATGGGAGTTGGGCTTGTGAGGCCCATCAGTGCCCAGTTGACATTTTATAGCTCTTGAAGAATGAAAGGGCAAAGGCCCATCTTTCCCTGGGCCTCCAGATTCCTGAGAGCGGGAAGCAGGTGTTACTCCTCCCATATTGCTTGTCCTGGAGCTGCCCTGCTTATTTCCGCCCTGGATCGGCCAGGCGCCCCAAACTCCCTCTGGACCCCTCGGACTCAGGGTCACCTCCCTTCTCTCAGGTGCACCAAAGCTCTCTTAGTCTAGACTTCACAGCTTAGAATTCCCCCAAATTCAACAATCCAAAATTTAGAAGATACAACTTGGAAAGGTAGCCAATTCACAAATGAGGTCTCGCATTAACACCCGTTCTTGTTCATGGAGCCGAGGTCTCCCCACTGGGCACTTGGGCTCCTTCCAGGGTCGCTACCCTCCGGTTTGGGTCAGGTTAGCTCACAGCTCAGCCACGGATGCTCTGTGCGCAGGAGTTGGGGGTCGCCCCTCAGCACTGACACCGCGCCCGGACTGCACCGGAGCTCAGACACTGGCCACCTGTGTCCCGGATTCAAGACGACAGCGTGGGAAACTCCGAAGGACTCAGTTCATGTTACAGCGGAGGCCCCGCGCTGGAGAAGGGAAAGTAGCACTGGCTGTGGGGGCCCCTCACTGCTGACCAGCCATGCACGTGGAGGGGCCAGCACTGCCTCACTCCAAGGGGGCGCTTGACGGACTGCCCGACAGCGAGGGGGGTGGGGTGGTTAACAACGTGGTCAGTATACACGGATGCAGGAACACCGCATGCAAGAGGGCGCTTATGTTCAGAGCATTAATTTCAGGCAGCTTTGCTGCAAAATAGCCGCCACCGCTGTCTCCTAGGAAGAAACATCTACAGTGGCGGGTAGGCTGGGTTGGGTGGTCCCATGCATGGCCTGGCTCTCCTGTCCTGTCCCGGCGGCTCCAGGCTGCCCCACTGCTCAGTGTTCTTGGGAAGAAGGGGCCATTCTGCCTTGTCCTCAGTGCTGGCTGCACATCATGTCACCAGCACCCCAGATGTCCCCATTTTACAGGTAGGAAAACTGAGGAAACTGGCCCATTAGCTCCCCTTCCTGTCCCCTCACTGGACCTAGACCTGTGCCCGGAGGCAGGCCTGGTGGAGGGGCCCTGATCCTGGGACCGGGCAGTGCGTCTCCCATTTCCTCCCCCAGAGGTGGGGACAGGCGGTGGGGGGCGCACAGGCAGTTCAGTGTGTGTACTCCCAGGTCTGCCCCCAGCGGGTCCGCACTCTGACACTTAGCTGCTCGGGGTCCTCAAAGAGCCACCTTGCTGTTTGTACACAGGGCCAGAGGGAAGACCCTGCAGGAACCCTAGGACTCAGGATATGTGCCGTGGAAATGGAAGCTTCTGGGACCAGTGTAGGCTTTCCACAAACATCAGACTACCAGCCCCCCTCCCACGGTTTCACCATCGTACAGCAGGCACCACACGGCTGTCCCGGCCTGGCGTGTGGGCGGATGGTGAACAAGGCGGCCTTTGCAGTTAAAATGGCACCTCCCGCCGCCCTCCTCAGGAGAGCTTCCCTGCAGGTGTGATGCCAGAGGCCAAGTGCTCTTTCTGAACGGGGTTTCATACCACCCTTGAGAAGAGCGAGACTTGTGGGCGGGACCAGAGCAGCTCAGACCACTGTGCCCACGCAACCACTGTGGCCAAGCATGCTGTCTAACAGGGCGTGACGTGAGGTTGGACCATGGGCAAGCCTTGAGCCCTGAGTAAACTCCTAAACACTCTCCTAAAGTCCACTCCTAAACACCAGCCTAAAGACGGGACAGCACCACTGCTCTACTGCGCATCTAGGGTTGTGGGAGCAAACCTTTTTCTTAGGGGAAAACATCTGATTAGAGCCATTAAGGTGCAGGCGGGGGTGGGGGCAGGGGGTGCGGTGTGTTAAGTAATTAAGCACTGTGTGGCTCAGGACGGGGTGTGACAAAAGGGGGAGATTCAGCACTGCTGGGGCCATGGGTCCGAGGTGAGAAGAAACCTCACACGGAAATCTGGGAACTTCAAATGCCAAACCCCACATGCCAACGCAAAGGGAAGTGAGTGGCGTCAGTAAATGCAACATAAACAGGAGTGCAAAGGGTCACGCAGTGCAGACAGCCCTCCCTGCTCCCGGGCAGAGTCAGGCCCGCTCCTGCCCTGCAGCGCACCTGTTCCAGAGGTGCCGGGAAGGGCGAAAAGGGGGCTGGGGACTACAGCAGGGGAAGCGGGCAGCTGACTTTGCTGTGGGTGGTTCTGTGCCAGCTCCTTGCCTGTATTCCTCACTCCTTCCTGACTCTAGCCCTCAAGACTGTCACCCACCACCTGTGCTGCTTGGACAGCTGGGGAGCATCCGGGGACGGGCGACTGCTTGTGGTTTTGTGTCCACTCGCTCCTGTGGTTCTTGGTGTAACATTAGCAAAGTAAACACCTCCCACAATCTCCAAGCCCACACTTGGCATTATTTATGCAAATACAGCACCCCCATTTGAATTCTAAGTATGTCAGCATGCCAGGTGACCTCATTCACCTAACAATAACAATGCCAGGCTAACTTTCTCTGGGGGATCCTTCCCCAGCAGCCCACAAGCCTGGAGATGAAAACCTCATCCCTCTCAACCCAGCTTGAACCCACAGGCAAGCTGAGCTGCCCCCACCCTGCCCCGGCACCTACTTCAGCATGTCCTTTTCCTTGTTCAGGTGCTGGAAGAAGGAGGGCTCACAGATGAGCTGGTTCTCCTGGCACACCTGCTTGCAGGATTGCCCGGGCTCAGCGAGCTTCACCCGCAGGGCGCTGAGGGGCGGCCACATCACTTGCCCATGGCAGAAGTCCTAGAATGACAATGAAGCCATCAGCCAAGGGACCAGAGATGCAGCTGGTGATCCCCAGCCTGCCCCGCCCGCAGCGGGACGAGGGGAGGCGGGCAGCTGAGAGGGGCGGGGCAGTGAAGGGAGGAGGTGGAGCCAGACAAACTTAGGTTGGAACTGGGCTCAGCTGGAACACGGCCTTGGACCAGCTCTTCCCCTCTGCACCTACCAGCCTCCTCAAATGCAAAGGGGACAGCAGGACCTCCCACGCGGGACAAGAGGTGCTGCTGTCATGTGCATAGCACCAGGCCGCCAGTGACCCCAGCCAGTCATTACCATTACCACCAGCAAACACACAATCCAGCTATTTAAGTCCTCCGCCCTCGAGGCCCATCTCTGGGCCCCCTCCACCAGCTGTTCAGTTTCCTTTGCTCTAATTCCCAAGACATTCCCAGTGTCTACCTAATTTGCAGGTTACCTAATGTGACACTTTTGTGAGCACCAGTTTCAACTTTACAAAGCGTATGGCAAGGTGCCTGTGGGCACCACTCACAGAGCCTCTCGAGGGGTCACGGCTCTGGTCCGGGCTCTGGAGTTGTTGGCTGAAAACAGTTCCAACACCGCACTAATTCAACTGTGCGGTAAACAGCCTGAGGACTTGTGATAGGATGTGAAGTCACCTGGAAACCCCTCAGAGAGAGGCGCCCCCAGCACAGGTGTAGGGAGCTCAGAATGGGGCAAGGCCAGTCATCCCCGGGGTCTAGAGGGACTGGGGCAGCACGTCCAAGGAAGACCCAGGGTGGGGTGGGCAGAGGGAGAGGAGGAGGGGAGACTCTCTGACCGGGCGCCCAGCTTTCATTCCAGCTGTGCCCGAAGTCGCCCTGGACAGGCAGCGGTGCTGGCTCTGGCACTCATGCACCCCTGGCAGCCAGCGCTCACTCTGCTCACACTGTGCCCCAAATCCCTGGGCTGCCCCACCTGCGGAAGGTGCTGTCTGTCTGTGCAGGGGGCCTGCAAGTTTAATTCCTTTTGGGGCGGCTGGCCCCCAGGAGTGCCCAGTGGTGGTTAGGGTCCTGGGCTCCGAATCCCAGTTGTAGGAATCGGCCCCGCAGACATGCAGGGACACCTGGTGCAGAGATACCTGGTGCAGAGACACCTGCACAGGACTTCACAGCGGCGTTGTCTGAGTAGAAGCATTAGAAGTGAAACAGCCTGTTATCTGTATTTAAACAGGTACCTGTTTAAATACAAATAATAACACAGTGCAACAGGTCTGTGTGTGGCCCAGGCCACACTGAGAGGCGAGAGCAGCCGCGTGCAGGACGCTGCACGGTGCTCGCACCGTCAGACCCTGGGGGTCAAGACGGAAAGATGCACAGGAATGTGCATTTGCTCCTGCAGGAACATCCCTGGTTGGCACGGGTGCCGCTGGGAAAGGAAACGGAGGGTCAATATCAGGAGTGGTAAGGAAATTTACTTTTCAGTGTATGTCCTTCTGGAATGTTTTATTTTTCCTCAAGTTTTCTTCCCCACTTTGTGGACAAGGAGCTGATGGATAACGTCGGAGCTGGTGCGGGCGAAGGAGGCCATGGAGCCCTGCAGGCGGGGCCCCTGGCAGAGAGGTGGGTGCGGCCCTTAGAAAGCAGGCCTGAGCTGTCCCCAGGAGGGGCCTCTGTATCATTCAAGATTTTGTAAAAACCTGTGCTTGTATTACTTTTAGCGAGCAAAATATAAACAAACAAGAGCAAAGTGAAATGTGCCCCGAACCCTATCTGCAGCAGGCTCTGCGGGTGCTTCCTGCTCCTTGTCACCAGCTATGAAACTCTGGACAAAACGCATAGTGTTATGAAGCCTCAGTTTCCTCATGGTAAAAATGAAAATGATGACTGATGGTTTCCCATGGTTCTTGCTTTTCCTACCTCCTTCCTGAAAGACAGATGCTGCTACCTGCTGAGAAAGGCCACTGGCAGGTGGTGGGCACTCACGGGGCTTCTGTTCCGGTCTGTTCAGATCAGTGACCGAGACCCCAGACGTAAAGCAAACCCACGACGTCTGCCACGTCACGGGACCCTGTGATGAGGGGACAGGACTGAGTCTGGGTGAGTTGTGAGGCTGACAAAAAGAAGCCCTTCAATGCACCGTGGTCGGAAACCCAGGCTGGATCCCTATTGGCTGAGAACAGAAGATTCCAGAAGAGTAATAATTCGGAGACCACAGCAATACAGTGAAACATGTAGAGATACTAGGATCAGCTTAATCTTCTGAAAGGGATGCATGGCGCAGGGGTCAGGGGTGAGCGGAGTGCACCCCCCCACAGCTCTGGGTGCCGCTGGAGAAAGGCCACACGCTGGGCAGGAAGACGCTGATCAACTGCTCAGGTTTGTGATGATCTGGAGCTCAACCCTCGTGCAGGCTGAGGCACGACGGCACACTGACTATGGTCTGGATGCGGTCACTAAGGGTGGAGGCATGACTGCAGACTGTAGCACCTGGCCGCACCTGACTGGAAACAAGGTGTTCACGGGTGACTCCCTCTCATACCTGATGGCATAAGGCAACATACTGGCTGACCCTTCCTCTCTGTCTGTCCCGTGAGGACGGCTGTCACCAAACAGAAAGGAGGAGGACACAGGTGATTGATGTAGTTTTGCTGGTGAGAGCTGAGTAGGCGCATCGACACTGGGAAAAGGTTAAGGGATCCTTTTTAATTTGTTTTTCTGGCTGGCTAATGCAAGCAACTTTGTTTATATATCATTAGGAGACATCTGATAACTTCTGTGGCCTTTCAGTATTATAATAAGGAGACTGTAAATCCAACATACACCAAAGCCTGCTCTGTGACTCTCCAGAACAGGCAAACCATCAGAAAAACCCAGGCCAGATCACAGCATCTACATACACCACTAGGAGCCAAGTAAGAATTTTGCTTTTTGCCTCCCAGATTTAGCTGGGCCCAACCCTTCATTCAGCCGGGCAACTGGAAGCCTACTGTGGCTGAAGGCTCAAACTCTGGCTTGCAGAGCTTGCAAGAAAACCGCAAATGTCTTTTCTTATATGACACCTACATGCAGTTAGAGCTAAGGGCAGTCTCTCTAGACCTGTTGAGTTTAGCAGTCTCTTAAGAAACTCTGCTCTTTATTCATTCTTAGTCTCTTGTGGTATGTGAAGTAGTCCCAGGGACAAAATAAACAAGGACTTGATGTGGCCAAGGCAGGCACTTCGAGTCAGAAGGCCTGGATTTGGTGCCTTGGGCTCACTGCCCAGTCTGGTCTTGTCCCCATCACTCATCTGTAGAAAGTGACACTAACAGACTAAGTGATGGAGCTGAGCAGAAGGCTGGCAAGCAGCAGGTAGCCCACCATGCTCACCTCCTCCGTCCTGGCCCTCACTGGGGTCGGGGGGTTGCCTGTGCTAGCATAGAGGTTGCAGGAACTGCAGTGTTGCATCGGCAGATGCGGGACCCTGCACCCTGAGGTCTGCACAAAGGCAGTGCCCTCAACGTGCGCAGCAGGGCGGATCTGAGTACACCACAGCAGCCGACCTTTTTGAGGTCCCCTTCAACAGGCAAGCTTAGCTCAATTATATGTGCACTGGGGCCCCCTGTCACTCTCACTCAGGGCTCACTGGGTGCTGCTCTGGCATCCTCTCAGAGATCTGTTTTGGAGACCAGTAGGATTGGGGATAGAAAAAATAGCTGCAGGACCTTATTAGCGCTTGGTGAACCATCTGGTAAAACTGAACAAAGGGAGGCCTAAAGGTGGTCCCAGTAAGCAAGGGACCTGTGCCTCGTCACAGGTAAAACAGGGGAGAGTGTGGGGATCCGGGCTGTGATTCTGGCCCCAGCTGGTGGACTTCATAGATGTCCCTTTAGCTTTCCCTGCATTCATCCTTCGTCCTTATAGAATTCCTGTGAGGTAAAATGAGGTGACTCTTAAGAAGGTACCTAGAAATGGTAAAGATAATATTCCAAGGTCAACCATTTTTTGACGTCAGGGTCCAGAAGTAAAAAGTCGAGTTGCCGGGATTGCATTCGGCGATTTGTCCACGAGAGCCAACCCTTTGCCCCGCTGCTTGCAGGGCGCACCTGTAACTGCCGCCCCCCTCACAGGCCTCTTCTCACCCCTAGATCCAGTCCCTCCCCCCAGGTGCTCGTGGGAGGCTGGAGGTCTTCTCTTTCCGTCAACCTCAGCATAGGCTAACATAGCAATGCCAACTTGTCTCCTTGCTGTATGCTCCCATTCATTCATTCATTCATTCATTCAACAAAATAGCTGCTAAGAAGCAGAAGATCATAATGGTCCAGAACTCAAACGCCTGGGTTTGAATCTAGCTCATCCAATCACTAGCTGAGTGCTCTCGGCTAGTTACATAATCTTGCCTTAGTTTTTTGTGATAAAATGCAGAAAATATCAACTGTCCTCCCAGAACTGTAGATGTGATTAATTATAATGTATACAGTGCTCAGAAAAATGCCTGATATAAGTAACACCACTTGTGGTTGGCTCTTACTGTTACTATATGCAAGGGACTTTCCTAGGTCTATGGGGGTGATTCAGTGGAAAAAAAAAAAAGGAACCAAAACCCTTGTCTTCATAGAGGTTATAATCAATGAGGAAGACAGAAAAACAAGATAAATAAATTATACACACATGTTAAAAGGTGGTAAGTGATCTTGAAAGAATGAAGTGAAGGACCTGCAGGTCATGAAGTACCTCGGGGCCCCTTTCAGTTCCGCCTCCTGTGACAGAGTGACAGGAAGGAGGCCACAGTGCGGGAGAGAGACCCAGGCAACTTTGTTCAGCAACCCTCTGAGAAACAGTCATGTCTCAGTTTGGCTTCGAAGGTTCTCTTATCATCCATTCAAAACTTTACAAACGACTACTAAAATCGTCCTAGGTAAAGGAAATTCGAACACGAACGAAGCACAGTCTCTGGGCTGTAGGCTCGGTGCACAGTGCGTGGTGAGAGAGGCCAACATCAAAAAAATTACACAGTACAAAACCGATGTCCAAATAAGGAGGGAC